TAGAGTCACTAGTGGTGGTTATTAGTGTCTCTAGTGGAGGTTACTAGTATCACTAGTGGTGGTTACTAGTATGACTAGTGGTGGTTATTAGTATCACTAGTGGTGGTTTTTACTGTCACTAGTGGTGGTTACTAGTATGACTAGTGGTGACTATTAGTGTCACTAGTGGTGGTTATTAATATCACTGGTGTTGGTTATTAGTATCACTAGTGGTGGTTATTAGTATCAACACTAGTGACACCAATAACCAACACTAGTGATACTAATAACCAACACCATTGATACTAATAACCAACACCAGTGATATTAATAACCACCACCAGTGATATTAGTATCATTGGTGTTGGTTATTAGTATCACTAGTGTTGATTATTAGTGTCACTAGTGTTGGTTATTAGTGTTACTAGCTGTGGTTAAAGAAGTTCATGGTTAAAAAACGGAGAACCCAATTATTACTGTTTAAAGAAAACATCATTATTTGGTAAATACGAGTCGAAGGATTTGAAGTTAAACCATCTATTGTGTGTTATAAAAACAAGTTAACCGCAGATATGTTTGCACTTTCATATTATCTTGAACATTACTACTTAAAATCAGAGGTGTAAAATAGCTCTTCAGATCTATCTTTTGTCTCTCACACGTCATTGCCCAATAAGCCTTTCGTTCAATACCAGAACTCATCAGTTGGGCTGGACGATGAGATACAAAAGGTTGTACGAAACGCTATTTATAAGTTACGGTTCTCCAATATTTCGCAGACTTTCGGCATTTAAGCAGTAACTTTTAAAGGATTGTTTGCTTTATTCAGTTATTATTTGCATAGGATTTTGAATGCATAATTATTTGGATCGAGAACGAAACTATAACGAAACTTTTTAGAAACACATATCTTGTAGTTTCATTCACGCACTTTCGTCTCACTTAAAGGAATCATACTTGTCTACTGACAGTTAATTTAAAACAGAAACTAAAGTTTCCCAGATATAAAAAAAAATACATAGTTTTTAACTTACGGAAATACATGATTCTGTTATTAGTTATCCATACATTTACTAGTTTTATCCAGTATTGGTTGAAGACATACTCAAAATCTTTCACTGTACTGTTAAGTTCTAAGAAGTGTCTTATTTGACATGTGCCATTTTCTTTTTTTAAAAGTACGAACATTCTGTAAAAAACGTTTAATACGGGGATTCTCAAACATTTTCAGCACACATTTCGTATCCTGACAGAGACTACCACCTAATGAATCTATATATATAGAATGCCTTCACAGCAAGCATTGGTAACAATTTATGTCGTATTATGTATATAACAAATGAGTTGTTTTCTGGTTGAAGTAACAGAGTTAATTTGTTATGACATAAAGTTAAATGAGTATATATTTTTCCATGCGTAATGGAACAGAATGTTCTAATACTATAACAATTATGTCAAAAACACAGCTTGATTTATGTCGTCATTTAACTCCTACATTCAGTTTAACGACCATTACATAAGTTATAAAACAAAGCAATAAACGTCTGTTATACATACTTTGAAGATTAGTTTAACGTTACATAAAAACAAAGTATCTTTGTACATTTCTTGTGACTTGCACTGAGTGACCTACTGACAAAAAAGAGTGCAAGACATATCTTGTCCTATATCCTGAGCAGGATATGGTCTAGTGATTAGCGTACCTGAGGTGTGAATCCATCAATTTCTGGAGAGTGCTTGGAGTGTGAATCTGAGGATTCAAGATTCGCGTCCCGTTTCTGCAAACACGCTCCACACATTTGGGCCGTGGGTACACTATAAAAGTAATGGTCCTATCTATTCAGTCAAACACGAGTAGCTCGAGAGTTAGCGGTGTGTGCTGTTAACTAGCTACCTTCCCTTTAATCTACGAGTTCGACAACATGGACGGTCATGCGCAGTTAGTTCTTCTGTAGTAGTAATTATCCGAGATAAGTACAAAAACAACAAATCTGATATCTCTATAACTACAAGCGCTGTTTTATTTGTTCCTTAACTAATCCAACTTGCTACCAAATACTATTTTTACCTCAGTTTGTTGCACTTAAAGTGTCCTCAAGGTTTTATTTAGAAGAACGAAACATGCATATGATGCATTTTTATGTTTATAAACACTGATTAGATTCGTATAAGCCGATACTTCCGCTGCCACCACTTTTTCCTAATATGAAAAGAAAACGTTACAGCTTACTTTAGTTCGAAAGTTATTATACTGACTTATGATTATTTGTAATAAATCCCAATTTCTCTTACATCTCTTTTAGAACTTGAGCCGAGAGACCGAAGTTTTAACTCAAAACTTACAATATTTTATACGTTTTCGTCCTGCGAATCTCACTTTAATTTTTTAAAGTCAAGACTTGAATTCGTTCAAATCAACGTCTCTGTTCAGGCCCTAAAAAAGTATTCGTTTTGGGAATGCTTCTTCGAAATAACATAGAAAACTCTTATGTTTGATCACAGTAATTTGATTATACATGCGAGTCGGAGACGTAATAAATATGTTTATGTTTTTTAATCGGACGACTTTAAGCTGACTAAGCATATATTTAGGTAAACAACGCAGCACTTAGAACCATACAG